GCTCGCTGACTGCAGCAGTGTACTTGCGGCTCTCCCGGGACCCGGGTTTAGGTGCGTGCGGGGGGAGAGCGGGGTTTGGTGCGAGGGAGAGTGGGAGAGCGGGGTGCCAGCGGAGGGGGGAGGTGACCGCTCGGTGTTGGGTGCATGTGGGTGCATGAGTCTCTGCCACCCAAGGCGACTTTCCTTTCTGTCCCTGCCGTCTCTCAGCCCTGGGGACCCAGGTGACAGGGGCTTTTCCCAGCCAGGGTGATGAGCTGCCTGATGCTCAGGGAGGGTGCAGTGCTGTGCCTCCCTCTCTGTCCTGTGGGTCCCAGCACCTCCAGCACCCCACTGACCCAAAGGGGCCCTGGGGAGGAGGAGGGCACTGCTGGGAGAGCTGCTTCTCCTGCAGCTGATGGGTTATTCTCCCAGCCCCTGAGCTGGGACAATGTGCTCTGCGTGGTGAAACACTTCAGATTTGGTTTCGTTTTGAACTCTTTTATGTCTGATGAACTGAGCATTGGTCCTTTGGGGTATGCTAATCTTTGAGCTGAAAGAAATCTGCGGGTTTTTTTGCTCTGGGGGTGGTTGCCTGTGTCCTGGGATCAGTTCCCTCGAAGGCAGTGGGGCTGTGGCAGTGCTGCCGTTGTGCTGCCCTGGGGACGTCACTGCTTTACCTGTACTGCTGTCCCTGCTCCTGTGCCCGTGCTGCCTTGCCCTGCGCTGGCCCCGGGCCTGCCTGCTGCAGCTGAGCCGCTCGTACCGGGCTCACTTCTCAGAAGGAATCACTTGCAACCTCCCGGGCCAGAAACGTGCTTGCCGGGGACATGAGTGACTCTCTGACGAAGAGGCAGCTTCAGGGAAGCCCCTTCTTTGCCCCTTTTTGCTGCACAGCAGCTGCTGAGGTACCGTCCGGGATGTGTGTGTGCCGGAGCATCGCAGCCCATCGCCAGCCGGTTCTCCCCACGCTCTCCGGAGAGCAGAGCTGCCTGTGGCTGCCGTACCTGCTTTGCAGGGCCTTTGCAATCTGGGTTGGGTGCCAAAGCTAATGAATCTAATTGCAGTCCAGAGCCCTACGTCCACAGCCCATTACGGTTTCTGTTGCGTTCAGCATCCCCTTTCCATTCCCAGTTTAACCAAGTCAGTGCATGTTTAACACTGGGATTCTCTGCCCCGGAGATGGTCCCATTTCCAAAGGGGGTCAGGCAGACCCGTGAGCAGAGAGGAGGGAAGGGGAGAAGAGGATGCTTCTCTGGGGCTGTCTTGGAAAATCACCAGTGTGTTTGCCAGCTGCTGGCTCACGTCGGCCCGGTTTGGCCCGTCAGGCTGTGAGATGTCACATCCCAAATGTGGTATATGGAGCTTGGGCTCAGGTTGTCTCTTTTCTGGCCTAAAGGATGAAAAACCCACTTGAACGGTGCAGAAAGCACACGAGCACTGCATGGTTTTGCTTATTCACGTGGCTGATGGAGAGCAGCCAGCTCTGCCTGCCCCGTGTGCCCGTGTCCTGTCCCTCCCCGCTGCTGATGGGCAACCTGGGGACATCATAGGTGGTGGCCTGTGGTCTCCTCTCCCAAGGCCTATGGTGGCCATTCCTCAGGGTCCTCTCCTCACTCTTGTCCTCCCCCTGTCTTTCAGATGTCCTGCGGTAACCTGGTGCCCCACAGAAGGGCCTGCCTGCCTTAGCCAGCCCATCCTCCCAGGCACCCCGCTGGCGATGGCCTCGACGCCCCAGTGAGGGGTGAAAGGACGAGGACCAAGTCCCCCCGACACTGCCACGTCCCCCCCAGGAGAGCCATGGAGGCCCCCCTGGACGTGCCCGTAGGGAACCTCATAGACTTTGATGCCGAAACGCCTGCCGGCATCCCCTCGGAGTCCTCTCCTCCCGCTGCCCCCAGCGGCAACGGGCACCTGGGGGATGCAGGGGACACGGTCGGGGAGGAGAGCGATGCCACCGAGTCGGCGGACAGCGAGAACGACATGGGTGACTCTCCCAGGCACTGGGGTGGCTAACGCCGCTCCTCCTCCAACGAGTCCGCCCCCTCCAGCCAGAGCACCGAGTCGGCCCGGGACGAGGCGACGGCCGAGCGCCGGGAGTTCATGCGGCACTACGTGGAGAAGATCTTCACCGGGGGGTAAGCGAGCAGGGCCGGCCAGCGCCACCAAGCCTGCTGCCAGGGGACATCCCGCGGGATGGGATCTGGCTGCTTTCCCACTCCGGGAGCATCGGGTCTGTGTCCTTCCCTGTGCTTGGCTAGCGCAGCTTGTTGCTCCCCGCCGTAACGCAGCATTGGAGCTAAGGGGGGGATGTGGGCTCTGACTTGCACCCCTCTCTCGGGCGCGTTTCAGCTCATCTTTCACCCCCAACTTCCCTCCCCTCTTCTTTCTCCCCTTTCCCATGCCGGGGTCTTGCCATGGCGGGGGTCTCCAGCTCCTCTCCCCCGCTGGGCATCTCTGCTGCTGCTTGTACAAATGTCCGCCACTTTTGAAAAAAAAAGCGTGCTCTGCCCCTTGGCAGCCCCCGGCTTCCCCCCCCAGCCCTGCATCCCTCCCAGCTCCCGTCGTTGTTGTCTCCGTAACGCTGGGGCTCAGCGCGTCAAGCAGGATTGAGCAAACCGAGCGTGATGAGCAGCAACAGGGGTTGTTTTTGCTCTGGGGCAGAGTGCCTGTCTCTGGAGCTCAGCTTCTGCTCGGGCTGTCCTTGGCTCTTCCCTTCTCCCTCTGCCTTTGGTTTTCCCCCCTGCCAGGGAGGAACAAAAGAGCAGCGTGAGCCGGAGGATGACAAAATGGATGTTCCCCTTCCCCTCTTCCTCTGCCTTCCTCCCAGCGTCGCAGCACCAGGATGCTGCCGCCAAGAGGGATGACGTGGGGGAGCTGAGCCGTGCTGGCTGGATAGGGGATGCCGGCCACATCCTCAACTTTAACGGTGTTTTTTTCTTTTTCCCCATTTCAGAGATGATTTGGACCAAGAAGAGAAGGCCAGGTTCGGTGAGCTGTGCAGCGGCGAGAACGGGAAGGGCAGGGAGTGGTTCGCGAGATACG